TCCCCCTGCTCACCGTGTTCCCCCACTCACCGTGCTCCCCATGCCTGGAAGTGAACAAAGCCACATTCCTTCAACTGTATGTGCTCTTGAGGCCCCACCTGCTGATACAAACAAGAGACTTCTGAGTAAAATATTTGAACCTCAGAGTCAATGTGCAAGTTCAGTATCTAGTCCCTAGTATGTTTCCTCCTGCCCATGTCCACTTCCTGGGTCTGCCACGGGTCTGGAAAGACACTGCGTGTCTACCCCTTGTGTCTTAAATATATGTGTGTTCTCTTCTACACTCATAAGGACCATTTGGGCTGTGGAGTCTGCAGGATGTTTTCCAGTTCAGTCCTGGGAGCAAAGGATATTCTGCCTACCTTGAGACCAACCTCATCACATGGTTTACCTACCAAGAACTTTGTGTTTGTTGCTTTCCTCGTGTGTCTTTGTGTGTGCTGCAGGTCACACTTAGTGTCCTCAAAAGGCCACAGATGCTTAACCTCATGTGTCTTTGTGTGTGCTACAGGTCACACTCAGCGTCCTCTCGAAGGCCACAGATGCTTTCTTTGTGTCTCTTTGTGTGTGCTGCAGGTTGCACTCACTCAGTGTCCTCTCTTTGCATTTCTAGAATGCTGAAGCAGAAGAAGTTGGAAGAGTTGGATTCAAATCCCGGAGACCTCAGAGACATCACAGTCATGCTCCAGGGCACAAGGTTTGAGAAAAAATGGGGAGGGGGGCTAAACTGATATGTAAAAATTTAATTAGAAAATCGGCTTTGCGACCGCTACTCTGATTTGAAGTGGTGTGATTCTTTTTGTTCTTTTAACTTTATGGATCTTTTGTGGGTTTCATACCACACTTTCTGATCCCCTCTATCCCCCCCTTCCCCTCACATCTCACTCTGCCCTTGCAACCTCTTCCCCAAAACAAAACAAAATTTAAAAGAAAAACCAAAGACCAAACAGATAAAGAAGACTCATCATGGGAGTTGCAGGTGGCCCGATGAGTCACATAATTTGCCCTTTATTTAATGTAAGTATTTTAAGGTTTTTATTGCTTTTTTATATACATTTTTATTGATATTTATTGAGCTATGCATTTTTCTCTGCTCCCCTCCCTGCCTCTCCTTTCCCCCCTTAAATCCTTGCCCAAGGTCCCCATGCTCCCAATTTACTCAGGAGATCTTGTCTTTTTCTCCTTCTACTTCCTATGTAGATTAGATCTATGTAAGTCTCTCTTAGCGTCCGCGTTGTTGTCTAACTTCTCTGGGATTGTGGTTTGTAGGCTGTCTTTCTTTGCTTTATGTTTAAAAACCACCTGAGTGAATACTTGTGATAATTGTCTTTCTATGTCTGGGTTACCTCACTCAATGTTTTCTAGCTCCATCCATTTTCCTGCAAAATTCAAGATGTCATTATTTTTTTCTGCTGTGTAGTACTCCATTGTGTAAATGTACCACATTTTCCTTATCCATTTTTCCGTAGAGGGGCATTTAGGTTGTTTCCAGGTTCTGGCTATGACAAACAAAGCTACTATGGACATAGTTGAGCACATGTTCTTGTGGCACAATTGAACATCCTTTGGATATATACCCAAAAGTGGTATTACTGGGTCTTGAGGAAGATTGTTTCCTAATTTTCTGAGAAATTGCCACACTGACTTCCAAAGGGGTTGTACCAGCTTGCATTCCCACCAGCAATGCAGAAGTGTTCCCTTTTCCCCACAATCTCTCCAGCATAAATTGTCATCAGTGTTTTTGATTTTGGCCATTCTTACAGGTGTAAGATGGAATCTCAGAGTTGTTTTGATTTGCATTTCTCTGACTAAGGATGTTGAACATTTTCTTAAGTATCTTTCGGCCATTTTAGATTCCTCTGTTGAGAGTTCTCTGTTTAGGTCTGTACTCCATTTTTTTATTGGATTATGTGTTCTTTTGGTGTCCAATTTCTTGGATTCTTTGTGTATTTCGAAGATCAGACCTCTGTCTGATGTGGGGTTGATGGAGATCTTTTCCCATTCTGTAGGCTGTCGTTTTATTTTGTTGACTGTGTCCTTTGCTTTACAGAAGCTTTTCAGTTTCAGGAGGTCCCACTTATTAATTGTTTCTCTCAGTGTCTGTGCTACTGGGGTTATATTTAGGAAGTGGTCTCCTGTGCCAATGCATTCAAGTGTATTTACCACTTTCTCTTCTATAAGGTTTAGTGCAGCTGTCTTTATGTTGAGGTCTTTGATCCATTTGGACTTGAGTTTTGTGCATGGTGACAGATATGGGTCTATTTTCATTTTTCTACATGTTGATATCTATTTATGCCAGCACCACTTGTTAAATATGCTTTCTTTTTTCCATTTGATATATTTTGCTTCTTTATCAAAGATCAGGTGTTCAAAGATGTATGGATTGATATCCGGGTCTTCTATTTGGTTCCATTGGTCCTTCTGTCTGTTTTTATGCCAATACCAGGTTATTTTCAGTACTGTAGCTCTGTAGTAGAGTTTGAAGTCAGGGATTGTGATGCCTCCAGAAATTCTTTTATTGTTCAGGATTGTTTTGGCTATCCTGGGTTTTTGCTTTTCCATATGAAGTTGAGTACTGTTCTTTTGAAGTCTTGGAAGAATTTTGATGGGATTTTGATAGGCATTGCGTTGAATTAATTTGCCCTTTAATACATTCAACTTTACTTGCAAGTGTTCACTGCTGTGAGTCATTGAAGTCATTGGTCTGGCTCCAGGCCTCTGGCTTCTGCTATGCCACTGATAATGAGCTCCCACTGGGGCTCCTCTTGGATGTCCTGTTGTTGTCCTGTGTCATGGACATCCTGATGTTTTGGATCTGTAGGTTCATCCCCTCCACATGCTCATAGATGTGTTGGATGTTGGGGTGGGCCAACTCAAAGCTCTGATTCTGAGCCTGGGTGGTAACTTTCTTCATTATCACAACCCAGGTGAGCTTTCTAGCATTGCCTCTAGCTCACTAAATGCAGAGTCTGCAGCAAGGAGCAGAGATTTTTAAAGTGACACCCACCGATCATGAACAACGAAGATTCACTATGCCAGGCTTGGATAATCCCAGCACGTGGGAGGCTGAGACAGGATTGATGAGAGTTTAAGATTACAGAGGAAGTCCCTGTCCCAAAAAACAAATTCAATTTAATGTAAGGTGAAAAGATTGACCTTAAAAACAATCCCAGCACTCAAGGTACTGAGGCAGGCTGAGGTGGTGGCAGTGCATGACCTTAATTCCAGCACTCTGGAGGCAGAGGCAAGTGGATCTCTGTGGTTTTGAGGCCGGCCTGCTCTACAATGTGAGTTCCAGGACAGCCAGAGCTACGTAGAGAGACGCCGTCTTAAAGAAACAATAAAGCAAGCCTTATGCTGAGGTAGGAGGAGGAGAAGCCCCAGGCTCTGCAGTGGTACTGCATGTCAAATTAAAACTGAGTATGATAAACTTTTGTTAGGCATTCAGGTGGGGGCTCACTGTGTAGCCCTGGCTGTTCTAGAATTCACTATGTAGACCAGAGTGGCTTCTGACTTAGAGATCCTCTTGCTTCTACCAGCCATATGCAACCATTCTTGGCTTGATAAGCATTGTTCCGTATTCTAGTTATTACAGGCCTCAGTTGTCTCTAGAACAATGTGGCTAACATTAATTAACTCTATATGTCTGTGCTGCTGGTCTCAAATGCGACAGCGTATAAAATTACATCTAGCTTGATGCTTTGATCAGAAGGGACCTGGTGAAAATAAGGGATTTAAAGCAAGCAGCTCCTTTGGCCAGCCCAGTTCTGACATGGAATGCTGGGACTGGCCTCTGTGTAACGGATTCTTTCACAGTATGGACATCCAGCGTAGCTACAATGCTTCCATCCTCCCGTATGAGAGGAGCCTGACCCTGTGTGCTGACGTGACGCATAGGCTGCACCAGACGAAAACTGTGCTGGACATCTTGCGAGAGAAGAGTGAAGTCCCGAATGAGGAGGTCTCTAAAGAGCTGGTGGGATCCATCGTCTACACCTTGTGAGTCTGTTTCAGACACTGACTAGCTGTTCTGGCTGTCGCTTTAGTCCCTTTGTCATATGCTCAAACAGCACACATTTGTAGTTGGAGTTTTCTTTGGGCCACCAACCAGCTCCCAAATTAAGATGGAAGACTTATTAATTATGAATGCTTGACCTTAGCTTAGGTTTATCCTTCTAGCTCTTTTAACTTAATTCAATCTTTTTCTATTCATCTACATTTTGCCTCAGGGCTTTTTTTTAAACCTTTTCTTTCTATATGTCCTACTTTCCTGTGTCTTCCATGTCTGACTGGCCCTGGCATCTCCGTTGTTTCCTTTGCTTTCTTCCCCCCACCTAAATTCCCCCTCCAACTTACTCTCTTTGCCTGGAAGTCCCACCTATCCTTCCTCCCTCACTATTGGCCATTCAGCCTTTTATTAATTAGACCTTAGGCAGGCAAGGTAAAATGGCAACACATCTTTACACAATTAAACAAATGCAGTGCATCCTTACGTAGCTAAGCAAATATTCCACAGTGTAAACAAATGCAACACATCTTTACATAGCTAAACAAATATTCTGCAGCACACATTAATGAAATTCAGGGCTAAAGTAGGAAAATAAGCATCATGTGATCCTTCTCACTTGCTTACCCAGCTTGAGGATTGGGTGTGGTGGCGAATGTGGCTGGTGTCTGTCTCCATGCCCCTGCATCTCCCTTTGTCTGCTCCTGGACCTTGATGGGTTTTCTGCTCGAGTTCATCCTGTTCTAAACTGTTGGTGTCTGGTGCTAGGCTTATCCCGAGGGTGGCTTCCACCTTGGAGGGCGCTTTTTCTTCATTTCTCCTTCTGTTTCAGAAACTTTTCCTTGAGGAGTGAGTGCAGTTAAGGAACCAGTGATGCAGCCAAACTAGTGGGAAAAACAGAGCCAAGGCTCACCTGGCCTGACTTTAGACCTTGTTAGAAAACACAGGAACCCTGATGCGCTCATGCCAGCAGAGGGATGAGCTGATGGTCCAGTTAAGCTGAGCCCTTCATAGTCCCTGGGTGTTTGATAGGAATGTGGATCACTTCAGGTCAAGGACAGTCTTTATAATAATGCGCTGGGGAGTAACTGGGCATCTATCTGCTCCTCCCCACAGAACACACAAAACTCAGCCAAATTTAACTTGGGAATTCCAAATAGACTTTGTGAAAATATAATTTTATTAGAAACATCAGACTTTAGATGAAAGAAAAGCACTGCTAGATAAGACACCAAAAAGAAAGGGGGAAAGAAGCATGGGGAGAGCGTTGTCAGCACACTGAAGAATGAGGGCAAGCGAACAGCAAGGGAGTCACATAGTAGTGAGAACGTTGTCAGCACACTGAAGAATGAGGGCAAGCGGACATCAGGGGAGTCACATAGTAGGGAGAGCGTTGTCAGCACACTGACGAATGAGGGCAAGCGGACAGCAAGGGAGTCACATAGTAGGGAGAACATTGTCAGCACACTGAAGAATGAGGGCAAGCGGACAGCAGGGGAATCACATAGTAGGGAGAGCGTTGTCAGCACACTGTGGAGAATGAGGGCAAGCGGACAGCAAGGGAGTCACATAGTAGGGAGAGCATTGTCAGCACACTGAAGAATGAGGGCAAGCGGACAGCAAGGGAGTCACACAGCTCACAGTAAAGGTGCTTACAGAACATAGACAGCACAATAGAAAGACAACTCAGTTTTTATGAATGAGGAAAGCATCTGACCAGACATGTTTCCAGGGAGCATGCTGCTGACCAGTAGGTGAAGCGGTGCTCACCCTGGGGTACAGGGATGCGACTGTACCCAGTGTGCTACTTCACACTCTCCGGGACAGCCAAGATAAACAGCCCAGGGCAGAGGTGATGAGTGAGAACCAATCACAAGTGAAATATCACTGGAGTGTAAAAAGTGTAGGACTCTGAAACCATTTCTCTGGAAAACAATCCGACATGCCCTCAGCGGTGACAATGACGTTACTCTCGACCCAGTTATATAGGTATTTCCCGTATAACCTGTATAGGAAACCCACTCA